AGTTCAGCACACTTTTCTTTGCCTCTTTCGAAATATTCCTACCTCTAAAAACTTCGCTTATCTTTTGAAAGACATTTTTTCGCTAACCCAATGCGCCTTCGGTATAGCTATACACGTGATTAGGATAAGCCGAAGTGGGATTAGCACGATTAATGCTTATTATCTTTAAAATAAATGTTTAAATTAGAACATGATTTAAGACGTTGGGATTTATTTGACAAGCAAAACGGGGACAGTGTTTTCGCAAGGTCCGGAAAAAGCACGTGTGTTAAGCTGGGCTTAGTCTGGCACAAGGCTAAAAGTCTCTGACACAGCGGACATCTATCTAATTAGAAACTGATTCCGAATCTGCGTACCGTATATATTCGTGCAACGCGCGAATTTTTCACTTATAAAAATGATCTTATCAAGTATTTCGTGTATCATGCGAGTTCCTTTTTTGAGAGACCAAATTACAATATACTAACCTCTTTTCCTTTATCTCTTTATCCCATCTTCTAAGTAAATAGGTTAAACAAGTAAAAGAGAATGATAGAAAATATCGTTAGTAAAGCTATACTCGTTGCTTAAACGAGTACAGCCATAAACAACCGAACGAGAAACAACTAAACATCTTACAAACGTGTAACTCGCGATCTCACGTATCGGGTGACCTCCAAATATCCACTTATAAAAATGATTTTAGCATGTAAGTCGTGTATCAAGCAAGTTCATTTTTTTCAGTGACCAAATTACAATAGACTAACTTCTTCTCTTTTATCTTTTTATCTAGCTATCCTTAGCATGTTCATATCTATCTATCTATCTATCTATCTATCTATCTATCTATCTATAATATATATAATTTTACGTTCACATTTAAATAAATCTATTCTTTGAGTCGAAAGTCTGATCAGGCTTGTTCTGCACGTCTTTTTTGTGTTTGCAGATGAAATTCGACTTAATTGAACTGTTAATGGATAAATGGCGAATTAGACGCCGCAATGGCGGCTATGTAATCAATGCACGTGTGCTGTGAATCATCATTACTAACTTAATACCTGTCCCGTGGACCGATAAAAATAAGTTATAATTCGTTCATTCTATGATTTTTGTATAAACATTTTCAGCAGCACATCTATTTTCTAAAGATCTTCTTGTCATTATGCTAATTACAGTTGAATACAACTCGAGAGAACGGACCATGAACGAAATGACTGAATAGTTTTCTAATCTTATAATAATAATAATAATAATATATAAGTGCCGTATATCTTCGTGTAACAGGTGATCTCGCGTATCGTGCGATCCTCAAATGTTCACTGATAAAAAAAGATTTTATCATGTTTCTCGTGTACCATCCGAGTTACCTTTGTGAGAGAAAAAATTGCAATAGACTAACCCATCATTTCCTCTATCCCATTTTCTAGTTAAATAAGTGTTGAAACTTGAATAAAGCATGGAATAATAATAATAATACAACACAAAATGTACTTAAACAAAATGTATTGACACAAGAACGTGTACACAATATTTACAGATAGTTTGGTATATTCTTGGCAATACCGTTCCTGTAGAATGGGTTGACTTAGTCGCAGTCGGGCAGAGTCTCTGGATTGGATCTCTTCTTCCTCCCCCCGTCTTCCCGGTACCAACCATATTTATAGGGTCGGTACTCCACTATGTCAATTAGGTGGATCCTACCACAACAATAAGTTTAAAAAAAAAAAAAAAAAAAGATAAAAGTATCGTTAGTAACGTTATACACGTAAACGCGTACAGTGATTAAATTGCAGTAGACTAACCCATCATTTCCTCTATCGCTTTATCCCATTTTCTAGTTAAATAAGTTTTAAAAAAAACTAAAAAAAGAAAGATAAAAGTATCGTTAGTAAAGTTATACACGTAAACGCGTACAGTGATAAACTATCGAGCTGAGAAACAGTTAAACATCTTATAAACGTAAACAATGGAAATGATGTATTATTATTGAATGCAGTTAAGTAAAACATTAGTTTTATCCGAATCATGATTATTTTAAATACAGCTGTACTTTTGACTACAGTAAATGAATATATAATTCGGTCAATGACGTAGCCAGGAACAGCAGTACATAGGCTAGTTTTTAGATCTCGCGCAATTTGCAACCCCCTTAAAATTAATATATATATATATATATATATATATATATATATATATATATATGTGTGTGTGTGTGTGTGTGTGAAAAGTGTATATAAATATAAATAAATATATATATATGTATAATTATTTATATATTATATACATTAATTACTTATTAGAATGCGCTCAATCTCACATCTATCGAACCAAATATATATATATATATATATATATATATATATATATATATATATATAGTCTTGCTACGCGCGAGCATGCATGTATTATGCGACCATCAAATTTTCACTGATAAAATGAATTTTCATGTATCTCGTGTATGTATGTATGTATACATATATATATATATATATATATATATATATATATATATATATATATATATATATATTTATTTTGTTCGATAGATGTGAGTTTGTGACCTGGGTTTCACGCTTTAGCGATCGTCAGACAAACTCTTTTCACATATGTGTGTGTGTGTGTGTGTGTGTATATATATATATATATATATATATATATATATATATATATATATATAGCTGATTGAAAAGTAACTTACTATTTTCAAATACTTATAATTTATTTATTAACTATACTTTTTACAATAAATGGATATGAGAGCAAAATATATTGCATGAGGCTTTATTCAAATTTGAATCTGGCCACCGGATTTCGCTACCAGATTCTTGAGCCACCCAGGAATCGCGTCAATTGATTTCACCAGGAACTCTTTTGGTATGGAAGACATAACTTCTTGTATTCACCCTTCAAGTTCTACCAAAGTCTTGGTTTGTTATGGTAGACTTGCTCATTTCACCAAGTCCCAAATAAAAAAAAGCCACACTGAGTGTTAAGTCAGGACTATTGGCTGGCCTCTCATACAAAAAATAGAGAGTTACTTTTCAATCACCCTGTATATATATATATATATATATATATATATATATATATATATATATATATAGAAAGAGAGAAAGAGAGTGATTCTGTGTGTGTGTTTATGAGAGAGAGAGAGAGAGAGAGTGTGTGTGTGTGTGTGTTAATATCAGTCAATTAAGATTTATCCCTTCCTAGCGTGAATGTTTACATCAAAGTGATAACATTTTAGCAATCCCTATGCAGCCGGATAGACATCTGGAATGATTTTAACAGTTAAAAGCATAATATTCACGTCGCGTTAAAATCCAGAAAAATCTTTAGCAATTAATCAACATCTATTTACAACACACTTCCACTTCCCATACATAATACTTCATTCTTTCTTTTTTTTTCTTTCTATATTTTTTTCAATATTCTCTCTTTTTACCATTTCTTTTAATTTTCCTAACTTCGTTCTTCTCAACAAAATTCTCCATTTTATTTTTTTTTTAAAAATTGTTTTACATATCTGTTGAGTTAAGTTTTGAATAGAATAAAAATGACGCCTTTTTTTTTTTTTAAGTGCTTTTAAGAAAATCCGAGAGAAGGGGTTCGTCTATTGAAAAGGTTTCTCTGTCTCCGTGGTGGTTTTCAACTTTTCATACAAATTGAATACAACCAAGAGAACAACGAATGTTTTTGTTGAAGCTGAAAGATATGACAAGATCTTCTTGTATTGGCTGATGTTCGAGTCGATCAAATAAAAGGGAAAAAAAACAAACAAACAAACCAAAGAGGCTCCTATGAATACTTCAAACACACGCGCACACAGGCGCATATGCTTTGCGCTTGGATATTTACATGCATTCAGAGAGGAACTAATACGTCCATATGCACAGAGAAAATGTGCATTTGAATATATTTACAGTGAGACATGGAAAGTCATATTCATAACTCGAAATATGGCGGGCCGGCAGATAAAATAGCGACTTCCTTTAGAGTGTAAGATATACATACATACATACATACATATATACATATATATATATATATATATATATATATATATATATATATATATATATATATATATATATATATATAGGGGTGTGTGTGTGTGTGGATTTCATAGATAGATAGATAGATAGATAGATAGATAGATAGATAGATAGATAGATAGGCAGGTATATGCATATCTGTAAGAAAAAGAGAGATAGGAAGAGAAAAGGATTTGAATAGAACAATAGATAGACAGGTATAAGCATATTAGTAAGAATGAGAGAGATAGAAAGAAAAATGATTTGAGTAGATAGATAGATAGATAGATAGGTAGATAGATAGATAGGCAGGTATATGCATATCTGTAAGAAAAAGAGGGATAGAAAGAGAAAAATATTTGAATAGATAGATAGATAGATATATAGATAGATAGATATTCATTCATTCATAGGTTTCTCTCTCTCACTACACACACACACACATATATGTATATTTATGCATATTTTCATTCAAACTTACACATAAAAAATAAAAAATGAAGAAATAAATATATAAATATATAAATAATATAAATAATAATATAAATAAATATATGAAAGTTTTGCAATAAACTCATTCATACATATATACACATAAAAAATAAAAAATGAAGAAATAAATATATAAATATATAAATAATATAAATAATAATATAAATAAATATATGAAAGTTTTGCAATAAACTCATTCATACATATATACACATATACGTAATCACGTGATCTGAAACCTTAGATAAAGGAAGAGTATAATAAAAAATATCCAAATATTAGACAATTTTTGTCTTTATATTCTCGCGAAATTAAAGCAACTATAAAAAGTTTAGAAGGGCTCCTGATCAAACATTATAGACTTTCGTTGTCTGTTATATTTAATAATATATGTTTGAATATATATATATATATATGTGTCTGTGTGTGTGTAAAGGAAAAAAGACAATAGGAAAACTGCATGTATTTTCTTTTTTTTTTCCTTTATACATAATGTCTTTTTCTACAGATTCTGTGAATTAAATCTAAGGTTTTATTTCCTAGCATTTAAATATCCACCCGTTAAAAATTTTGCTAGGGGTACCGTAATATTTTTCATTTGCTACTAGGTGTTTCCATTGCTTAAAAAGTTTGAGAAACACTCTGCTAGAGGAACGTTTTCTCATGCACCTTGCAATATGTTAACCTTCTCAAACTTACATGCATGCATAAACAATGTCTAGCTACACTTTTTTTTTCATACGGGCATCTGTCCACTAGGGAGACTATCCCTTTCCCGCCGCAGATATTTGCTCAGTCACTTTTGTGTTTGTTCAACATACACATAGCTCACCTGCGGTTCATACCGCATCTATACTGAGAGGACCTTAGTCACAGTGTCCCGAAAAAGATCGCATAATCTGTCATAATCAGCAGTTTGAACAACACCAGTTCGCTTAAACCTTCGGTTACGATGACATGTGACTTGCTAGAACAACTATCGACAGCTTTCGAATCCGTTTCCCTCACCAGATTTGGTTCAATCCGTCGTATGAATTTCAAACACATTCCAAAGGTGCTGCTTCTTTTCTTTTTTTTTTTTTGTATCGTTTTTCACCCTGGTCGGGTTAAACCGGCTTCCTCCCGAGCAAGTACATCATCACGGACCACCGCTGCCCATGTTCGCCGATCCTGAGCCAGGTCACACGAAATGGCGAGCCAATCGCGATTCCATCGTCGAAGACCAACTACTTGTGAACCTGATAGTACTGCTAGATCATCCTTGATTGTGCTAGCCCACGTCCTCAGCTGACCACCAACACATTTTCGCCAGCCAGGAAGAGGAGGGTGAAGTACATCGCGGATGAGCTCTCCCTCCGGGCTTCGAGTTGTGTGTCCGAACCATCGGAGACGACGCTAGAGCAGGACGGGCGGAAGAGGACGGAGACTCAGGCGACGACGTAGAGTGGCTGTGGGCACACGATCGATTCGGCGGCATCATAGAATGCAGCGAAGGCAATCGTTGTGGAACACTTCAAGCCTTCGTATGTCAACCGCTTTAAGTGACCACTTTTCGCAGCCATATAGAAGTATAGTCCGAACAATAGCCTGATAGATGCGCCCCTTCGTGTGTGCGGCAAGGGTGTGTCCTATCCCCTACCCTATTCAACTATACAATCGGCTACATCCTCGACAAGGCCCTTCGGGACTACGCTGGAGTTACGGTTGGTCGGAATGTCAGGGTGTCTGATCTGGCCTATGCGGACGATATTGTCTTGGTCGAATCGAACTGTGACAATGTGCAAGCTGCGCTCAACCATGTGCAAGCTGCAGCACGGGATGTGGGTATGACCATCAATGCCTCGAAGACCAAAGTTATGCCGTCTCTGGTTGATCCAGTCAACTGGCAGCCACTGACGCTGGACGGGGTCAATCTGGAGGACGTGCAGTCTTTCGTCTATCTCGGTTCAACCATTATACCATCCGGACAGGCTGTTGCTGAGGTTGAACGCCGTATAGGAGCTGCAGGGTCCGCATTCGTGCATCTCAAGCCGTTACTATGGAGGCGACGGGAGATTTCCACGGCTACGAAGGAGCGAATCTATCAGGCTATTGTTCGAAAGGTACCGCACATTGGGATCGCCTCCACCAGAATGAAAAACCTAAACAATCCACCTTCCTGAAAAATCGACCATGGGGAGATTCGAACCCGTATTTCATGGTCAGAAAGCGGAAGTAATAACCACTGGGCTACGTGTAAGATATATGCATGTATAAATGTATATATATAGTGCTGCACTGTGTCGTGCTAGATAATTTTTCTCTCTAGAATCTATCTGATATATTTATAAGTCTACCATTCGTCCATACTTTGAATTTTTGCTCCCACATATAGTCCGATACTCCTGTTGTATATTTAGAGATTGTTGATAAAATCCAAAATAGACTGAGTAATATTATTAATCGTGTGCTGACGTCTCGGCTTTAGTCAATTTCCCACCGACGTAATGTAGCTTCCCTGTGTCTCTTTTGCAAATGTAATTGTTCTGGGGAACCTTCCGGTATAATACCTAGATTTTATGAATTTAAGCACAGTAACGACGGTGAGTGGCAAGAATGGACTCAACTTAAACTACAAGAAGACAGAATGTATGGTCATCAGTAAAAGGATGAGCCTGAAATGCGATTTGCAGGTCGGGAACACTAGAATCAAGTAGACGTGTAAGTTTAAATATCTGGGAAGCGTTTTGACAGAGGGCGGTAAGTGGCAACACTGAGATTCGTAGGCGCATTGGGATGGCCAAGGATGCATTTCAAAAGTTGGGAAGTGTAATGCGAGACAGGAGGATATCTTTGGTAACAAAGAAAAGAATACTGAGCTGCTATGTGACATCTGTCCTTTACCGCAGCGAATGTTGGACGATTTCCTCCACGATGAAGAAAAATAGGTGTGCCACTATGGACGTCAATTTACCGCCGAGTATTCCGAACTCAGTGCACTTTCAATAACAACAGTAATAAATTAATTCCCCCTTGAATTAGGAGTGCGATTTATGATTAAAACTATTCCGATGAATGACGAACGCATCCAGTGTAATTTTTTGTAAAAATCCCTTCTGTGTACATATGGTAATGGTAACATTAGCTTTTTCTTTATAAGGAAACATTTGGCATTCATTGATTAAGCAGCCGATACTGCTTTCGGTTGAAAATTATGAAGTCTTTCTCTTAAAATAACGTTTCAGGAAAACTCGAGGCGAAATTCTAAATTCTAACTAAAACAGATCTCCTTCACGCGAGTTTTTTTTTTTTTTTTTTTTTTAAAAAAAATCACCATCACAACGGAATTCTGATTTTATTAGATCACGTCTCCAATACGGCATCGAATGTTGGACGGTCTCTTCAAAGATGAAGAAGAGACTCAGCGGATATATTGTTCTACAGAAGGATGCTAATGATATCATGGACCGAGCGTGTAAGAAACGATGAGCTCTTAAAGAGGAAAATAACCGAGAGGTCATAAAAGCCTTCACCGAGCCCTATTCGTTCTCTTTTCGCATTTTAATTTTCAACGGTCTGTACCTCACGGCCAACTCTTTTTTTTGCATCTTCCTACTTCAGTGGTCTCTATATTCAAAGTCCACATTTTCCCACTTTTCACTTTCAGCCGTCACTACCTTCAAGGGTTACGTCTTTATTTCTATCTATCTATCTATCTATCTATCTATCTATCTATCTATCTATCTATCTATCACCGTTCGTAGATCTATCTATCTATCTATCTATCTATCTATCTAATCTTGCTGCAGAAGACGAAGCTTGTCTTGGCAACTTCTCGTTCATCTCGTGGGAAGCGGCGGAAAAATCTTCCTTAGAGACATATGCCAAAGAAAACTACACACAATTCTTGCTGCAAAAGACGAGACCTGGCATAGCCGTTTCACACCCGTGTTCCTCGTTCCTCCCGTGGGAACTAACGAAGAAATCTCTCTAAACAAAAACAACTACTATATTCCAAAATTTTGGTAACTCGGAAACCCTCATTTTACCTCACAACATACTACTATTTTGCGCTCTCTTTTTAACCAGAAATAAAAGCTGTTGAACAGTTATTTTCAAGCTTTGTTTTTTTTTTTGTTCATTCCACTCACACTACCGAGCACAAACAAAGATGCATGATGCAAAATCCCACCAATCTATTTATCTTTACCTTTCTTTTTGTGGATTTTTCTTATATATATATATATATATATATATATATATATATATATATATATATATATATATCTATTGGGGTATTTCTTTTTCCTATATTTTACTTATCTTTCATTCTGTTTGTTTCCTTCTTTATGTCTGTCTATTAGTTTGGGCTCCTTTTGGTTTCTTCTTTCTTTATTTCTTTCTTTATATCTATCTATCTATCTATCTATCTATCTATCTAACGCTTTAGATGTGTCTTTTCTTTTATATATTACTTTCTTTCATCTTTCTTTTTTCTTTCGTCCTGTCTCCCCTTTGCTCTCTTTCTTTCGTTCCGTCTTTATTTCTATCTATCTATCTATCTATCTATCTATCTATCTATCTATCTGACTCTCAGTCTATCTATCTATCTAATCTTTTCTAATTTTTTATTTCTTCCGATATATTCCTTACTTAGTCTGTTTACATTCTTTCAGCTTTGGTTTCCTTCTATCCTTCTTTCTTTCCTTCTTTCCTTCTATCTATCTATCTATCTATCTATCTATCTATCTATCTATCTATCTATCTATCTATCTAACGCTTTAGATGTATTCTTTCTTCCATATTTTACATTCTTCAATTTTTTTTCTTTCGTCCTGTCTATCAATTTTGGCTTCTTTCTTTCGATCCTTCTTTCTTTCCGCCCGTCTATATCCATATCTATCTATCTATCTATCTATCTATCTATCTATCTATCTATCTATCTATCTATCTGTCATAGCAGTTCCACACACGGATTCTATCTATCTATCTATCTATCTATCTATCTATCTATCTATCTATCTATCTATCTATCTGTTATAGCAGTTCCACACACGGATTCTTCTATCTATCTATCTATCTATCTATCTATCTATCTATCTATCTATATATATATATATATATATATATATATATATATATATCATAGCAGTTCCACACTCGGATTCTATCTATCTATCTATCTATCTATCTGTGTGTCTGTTTGTAAGCTTCATTTTTGTCTATATATCTGCAGTTATTTTTATCTTTCTATCTGAGTCTTTTCATTATCGATCTATCTATTTATCTATCTATCTTTTTATTTATCTATCTTTTTCTCCTGTTTCTTTTATTTTACGTTTGCTTTTTACCTGTCTTTTATTTTCTTCCAATCTATCAGTTTTGGTTTCTTTCTCGTTTTCCTTCTTTCTTTCTTTCTTTCTTTCTTTCTTTCTTTCTTTTTGTTTTTTTCATTCTTCTTCTTTTTCTTTTGATTTCTTCAATGTTTGATTCTTTATTTCTCGCTTTCGTTTTCTTTTTTTCGCTTTCTTTCTTTTTCTCTTTCTTTGTATATTTCAGTTTCTTTCTTTTTTTGTTTTTATCTTTTTTCTTTCTTTCTATCTTTCATTCTTTCTGTTTCTCCTTATTTCTTCCTGCTTTCCTTCCATGCATATTTCCTAATCATATATAATATCCTTTGCTCCTCTTTACCCCATTCTTCTCCACTCACTTATTTTCTTCTTGTATCCAACCACCCCCATCTCCTCCAATTTCTTATTTAACTGTGCCCCAGGCTCTCGCATTCGTTCTCCATATTTGATTCAGCCATCTTGAAACCCAAGGCGCCGTAAATTCATCTGTTCTCTTCCAGTCCATTCCCATCCATCTTGTATGATCGTTGCCATCATTTTCAAATTTTCTGTCTTTTTCCATCGCTTCGCTTTCATCCGTGAATCAACACCGGAAGCGAACGGGACTTGGCGTCGTTCGCATCAGATGGACACACTGCAGATACACTTATTCCTCAAACACAGACAGAGACATCCCCGTCGCTTGAACACCGCCCTACTGAGGTGCGCTTTCGGGACTGATTAACGCTGACGCTGCTCCAAAGTATAGCAATCAGGGTATAAACGCGATATCGTCATCACCGTGTCTTCAATAACGCATGCGCAGTGGGTCGCATATGAACAGGAACTCCCATGTAAAGTGTACGAATGCCGGAAGTGAGTCTGTAAACAACAGCAACTATCAGAGTTCGATAACTGAATTTTTTCATCTATTTTATCTTATGAACGATATGTGTACTTAAAAAAAAGGTAAGATGTTGCTTAGCCAAATAAACATTTAAATAAATAGCACTAACCCAGAAAGAAACACTTAGCAAATGTTAAATACTGTCTATGGCTATAATTTTGGTTTGGATGCGGACTGAAATAGCATTCATTACCTGCATGACAGCCAACTACCTTAGAATAATGGTAAACCAGATAGTTTTGCCAAACGTTGTAAATTAGTTCTATCTGGACACCTCGATATTGTGCCTTTGGGCCAAAGTAAAAGTAAATTGGGATGCGTTTAATTTAGATCTCTGTTATAGATTTGTACTTATTAAGTTATTATGTAAATTTACTCATGAATTGTATTGACAAAATATACATTTATTTATTTATTTCTTCTGGAAATATACATTTAAATTCTAAATTATATGTAAGCTGTTCTTTCGTATGGTTGTAAAAACGATAGAAATTGGGAAAAAAAGAGGTAATCAATTGTACAATTTTAACGAAATATTATTTTGTCTATATTTCTAAAATGAGGTATTATATAAACTATTTTCATTGTTCGGACTATCATCCTCATCTTTGTAGGCATATTTATTACAACATTTCGGCCGTTGTACGCTCCGGTCTTCTTCGGGTGGTTGGAATGTAGAACTGAACCCTTTATTTCTCTCACTGGGGTAGACTGTTCTAGTTCCACGTGCCATGTCTAATGGGTGTCACTTATCAGTTATCTCCACCGTGTCATCTGTCCTTGAGGAGAGATGGCACAATAGATGGAGGCGTTAGTTCGATCTAGTGACAGGACCCAAAGAGTTTGAGTTCAATACCTGGTTAAAGCGGTGGAGAACTTGGAGACGGGAAATTAACAGGAGATAACTGACATCCATTACATATGGCACGTGGAACTAGAACACTTTACCCCAGCGAGAGAAATAAAGGGTTCAGTTCGACATTCCAACCACTTGAAGAAGGTCGGAGCGTATAACGGCCGAAACATTGTGATAAATATGGTAACAAAGATGAGTCCCAACAACGTTGTGATAAATATGGCAACAAAGATGGGTCCGAACAATGTAAATCGTGGAGTTTATTTTATTATTCCTTCCTTTCCAATCGGGATGTGAGGGTAGCGTGACGATTATCGGTGCATTGTTCAAATTCTGTTTCGTTCGCTTAACTGCACTGTCCTTTGTGAAAGGCAAGAATACATGCATTAAATAGCAGATGCTCTAGACAGGACTGGTAAAGGAAAACGCAAGATCCGAGCTCTCGTAAACAATAGGGCAGACTAGAATATTTAGTAGGAGAACCAATCTAGGAAAAAAACTTTAAACTCAAAAGCAACCTGAAAAAGATAAGCTTCGCCAGGCCAACTGGTGCCAGACACTTCCACTTAGGACCTTGATGTGGTATAGCAAGTCTGATCATGATTTCCAATTATGACATTGAATTCGGTTAAATAAAGCGCTTTATTTAATTACAAGTGTTATGGGACCTTACCCATAATAACATAATGGACTATTCCATACGTAACAAATACTGCGCCTCAAGAGGAAGCAGAGAATTCTGTCTGAAGTCAGACTTCCGTCTGAAGTCTGAAGTGAGGTCCGGCAGGAGTCAGTCAGTCGAGTCAGAGGCAGTCTGAAATAGAGTCGCGTTCAGACAATTACTACTAAACCTGATTGTTCGTACTAACACTTTTCTATCTCTCTGTATATATTCCTGTTTGTAATATATCTGTGTTATTCCATGTCCGTGTTCGAGTTCTTCTTTATTGGTTCTACATTGGACTATCACCGTGGTACAAGGAACCGGACCATAACAACAAGGAAACTGTCTTAGAGGTTTAATAGCATACAGATATTGTGGCAACATATTAGAATATCCCACTATGGTCGGTTTGATTTGATAATATTGACCTAATGATGGCAATCGTTTAGACGTCACGTTATTACCTACTTATGCGTTTCTTCCATGGTCACGTGATCTAATTAATTCAATAATGGGATCGCCTGTGTTGCTCACTAGCGATCTATGCTCAAACTGAACTGTCGGCAGCGACACTTTATTCCTATAAAACAAACGTGTAGATTTAAACTCTAATAATGAGATCACATGGAGTGACTTATTGAAATTATGGACCCATTAAGTAATTTCACGACACCTGTTATTTTAGACCAACACCTGTTAATTCCAAATACCCAATTATTAAACTCGTTAGAAACGAAGTTAGGAGTACTGAAATGTTATGTAATATCGGCCCTCCCATATGAATGTGAATGCTGGACATTCTCCTCACAGAGGAAGAAAAGACTTGAAGCAAAAGAAATGTGGCTCAACTGAAGGATGCTGAGAATCCCAGCGACTGAACATTTGATCAACGACGAAGATTTAGAGAAAGAGTCAAACTAAAAATACACTTATAATTAACGTCAGATAGGGACTGTTAACATTTCTAGGTTACATGAGGAAAGAATGCCTAGGAAATTTGACACTCACGGCAGATATTTAAGACAAGAAGGACAGAGGAATTCAATTCATAAGCTACATAAAGAGCTTATGTAAATGGCTGGGATTAGAATAGATAGCCAAAAAAAAAATTACTGAGAGCTACAAATAAAAGGAAATTGTGGAGAGCCATGATCGCCAAGGTCATGAAAAAGAACATTTGATTTTTCCTTGTTCGGACTATCATCCTCATCTTTCTAGGCATATTTATTAGAACGTTTCGGCCGGAAGTGAGTCTGTAAACAACTAGAGGAACCATTGACTACGCCTATTGCTTGGATGTGCGGGTGGTATAATGGTATTTCACTTCAAAGTAATCTTTTATTAAAATATACAGTGTAACCCGGATATAAGAGAGTTGTTGGGACCGGAGAAGAAGTATCTTATATCCGGGTTTCTCTTATATCCAGGTTTGGTCTATTTTATATACATTAACACAGTCTCTAATTTGGGACCAAAGAAAATCTCTCTTATATCCAGGTTTCTCTTATATCCGGGTTTGGTCTATTTTATATACATTAAAACAGGCTCTAATTCGGGACCAGAGAAAATCTCTCTTATATCCGGGTTTCTCTTATATCCAGGTTTGGTCTATTTTATATACATTAACACAGGCTCTAATTTGGGACCAGAGAAAATCTTTCTTATATCCGGGTTTCTCTTATATCCGGGTTTGGTCTATTTTATATACATTAACACAGGCTCTAATTCGGGACCAGAGAAAATCTCTCTTATATCCAGGTTTCTCTTATATCCGGGTTTGGTCTATTTTATATACATTAACACAGGCTCTAATTCGGGACCAGAGAAAATCTCTCTTATATCCGGGTTTCTCTTATATCCGGGTCTCTTATATCCGGGTTACACTGTAATAGTAAAAGTATTTCTGTAAGAAAATATTTTTATTTGCTAGTAATTTTGTTTTTTATTACACTACATGTCTCGGATGTAATAATGCTTGAAGCTCTTCGATGAAATATTGTCAAAGATTATCGATTTTTTGATGAGTCTTTCTTTCCTCGTATTTTCTTAAGCGATTACCATATCTGGTCGTTATTCTACGATCGCTAGTTAAAAAATAATAAGCTTTTCTTTTTTACACAACGTTTCGACCTAAGTACCCCCCCCTTTTTGGAATATTCTGATTTCCCAGGTAGTTATACCCTCTCATACACCTCGTATTTCATCCCTGTAACCTCCTTTAACTCTCTTCTGACGGGCTTACGACAACATCACGTTGAAAAACCGGCTCTAATACAATCACCGAAGTTAAGCACCGTCGAGTTTGATCATTACCTAGATGGGAGACTGCTGGAAATACCATGTTTCGTAAGCTTGGATGTGCGGTTGGCATAATGGGTTTACGGAGATATCACGTTGAAAGAACGGTCCCCCGTACGATCACCGAAGTTAAGCAATGTCGACCCTGTTCATTCCTAGATGGGTGACTGCTTGAAATTCTATGTTTCGTAAGCTTGGATGTGCGGATGGCATAATGGGTTTATGGACATATCACGTTGAAAGATCGATCCCCCGTACGATCACTGTTTAACTTCGGTAATAGAATGATTTAACTGACTCGCATGTTGAAATTCAAACATATTTACCTTGTAGTAAGACTTGAATGTTATGTATTATTAATTCAATAGACATCACTAGAACCACATTTTCTGCGAAGTTAGAAAACATATGCCGATGCC